GTTTCTGAAGTTTTTTTGTTCAATGGTCACTATCATTGAACAAAAAAACTTCAGAAACAGACTTCAAAGAGAAACAGCAGAACTGAAATTCATTTGCAAATTCAACACCATTAATCTGGGCTTGAATAGGGACTGGGAGTGGCTGGCTCATTACAGAAGCAGCTTTTCCTCTCCTGGAATTGACACCTCCTCATCTATTATTGGGAGTGGACTACATCCACCCTGATTGAATTGGCCCTGTCAACACTGGTTCTCCACTTGCGAAGTAACTCCCTGCTCTCCATGTGTCAGTATATAATGACTGCATCTGTAACTTTCACTCTATGCATCGGAAGAAGTGAGGTTTTTACTCACGGAAGCTTATGCCCAAATAAATCTGTTAGTCTTTAAGGTGCCACCGGACTCCTTGTTGTTTTTGTAGATACAGATTAACACGGCTACCCCCTGATACTTGACTTCCCTATTATCTTCCTCAATCCTGGATCCAATACTGCTGCTGTTTAGTCCACCATCTTGCCATGACACTCCAAAGAGGATTTCCCTTACATGAGTAAAGGACACACACTATGGTATATCAATAATAAAACAGTAACTTTTGAGATTAGATTGGGACAAAAATGTCTAATTCACCTAGACAAACAGGGGAATGTACATCTGATACCTTACCACTGCAATTCCAACACTGGACAGTAGGTGAAGTATGTAACCCTGCACCTGGCCTCCCCATTACGCTGGTGATATTTAGTCACAGGTGTATGCCCTTACTGAACTGGTTATTCCCACCTGATGTAATAATTATGAACCTGATCCTGCAGCCACTGAAGTCAGAGTTTTCCAATTGGATTGTGTGCCCATTCCAGAAAGGTGAGGATCAACTCAATTTCTATGAAATCAATGGGAGCAAAGGGCACTCAGCCCTATGGCCATACTCTATGGCCACGCTCATCCTGGCATGCACTGAAACAGTTCATTCTTCTCACTGAATAGAAAATGCCAACATGCAATGAGAGCCTCTGCAATTACAGATTGCTGTCATGGGAATTTAAGCTGGGGTTAACAAAATTTCAAGTACTCCCCAAATCATTGCACACACACAAAACTGAAAAGTTCTATATGTCAGCACTTCATTAGCTTAAGCAGGTCCCAATACCCAGCCTACTGCCCAGTGCTTTCTTGATTTACTTTTCCTTATTCCATCGATGAAATAGTAATACATCATTGTGTAAAGTGATTTTAACATTTTAATTTCTAGCGCAGGCAAGGTCTAAATTGAAATTCATTGTTTCAAAGGAAACTGTCAGCCATTTATTTATGACCCTTCCTTGTTTGAAGAAACCACTTAGAAGACTATTTCTTTACTGACTTTGCCCTTCAGTTTGGCAAATGAGCTGTTGCGTTCAAGGAAGGTGAAAATAATGTGGCTGTTTTTAAACATTCTCTCCAATTTATATAACACCGCATAATACCAAAGCATCTTCAGTCACAAATCTTTACGCAGCTGCGTAGCTCCAGGGTGTAAGGGTTGGCAGGATCAAGGCCTTAGGTTACACGTTTGCATCCTCCTTATGGCAGCACAGCATTTAGAAGTGTGTGTTCCTTCAGAACCAGCGAGTGAGCACACAGTGGCCTGACAATTATTAGTCTGTCCTATGCTGAATGCAAGAAGAAACCAAGGCTGGCAACCAAAAGTGCTTTCAAGTGCTCATGTTTTGGTCCCTTTATGGGTCCATCATGGCCCCCAGCATCAGAGAAGCCTCAGGATTTCTCTAACAAATGCTCTACTTTGCCCATTGGCTATGGGAAGCAAAGAATAGTTGGAACCACACCTCCCTTCCCTTCCCCACCCTCCAACATCAGGGGCTGAGAGCAGGGCTAGCGTATGGCGGCTCTGGCATCTCTACTTTAGAGAAAGCTGCTCAACATTGGGGTTATTCCCAAGGGTCTGTTTCTGCTCTCTTGAAGGGCTCTTTTTGCAAAGGGACTGTTCAGTTCAACAAAAACAACACTTTACTCACAGGTCTACAGGCTGGGAACTTGTTGCTTTGTTCAACTGGATCCCACAGAAAGCATGTGTATGTGTTGGGGCGAGGGGGATGGGAACTCCCACTTACAAAACAAGAAGAGAGGAGCATGGCTTCATCCCATAATACTCCGGGTAACCCAGTTAATCTTATCATGACCACTTTACTACACATTTACACTGCTAGATCAGAGTCTTTTCCAATATGTTCATACGTTCTTCACAAAGAGGCCCTTGTCAGAATAATGGATTACATTTTTTTTTTTTACAAAAAGTAATGATTTATTTAGGAAGTTTTAACAGATTTTTCAAATCTTTATGTCTGAAAACTGGTTCTGCTGCTGAGCTTTCAATTGATCAGATTTTTAATGTTCATCTGTTAAGATTCTTATGCCATTAAGAATAACGTAGAAGACATTGATTTACTGTGTATACATTTTCAAGATGGACTGATAGACCCATTCAGGAGCCTGTTGATGGGCCAATATGTGGTATTGAACATAGTATCCTATGGTTTGAAAGAGCTTAAAACAATTTACCAGACAGAATTTCCGTGACCTTGCTACACATAAGCTTCCACTTCTCACCCCAAGTTACACAGATTTCTCACTTTAAATGCAGTGCAGTGGCCATAGGTTCCAAGGTCAAATCCTGCTACTGACTTCAATGGGAGTTGGATCAGGCCTTCTATGGTGATGCCTTTATAAGTATTCCTTTCAGTGACACAGATACACAATTCTGCATCCCGCACTGATGATCACGAAAGGCAATCTATCCTGATAGGGGCCTTTTTTACATACACTGTGGAGTTTTATTGATTTTACAAATTCCATAGAGAGGAAAAAACCTCAAAACAAAACACAAAGGTGGCAGCTCGGGTGGTTAATGTGCAGAAGTGGCACACTGGAATAATATATACCCATCAGTATGTGAGATATTAAGAATAAACATTTATACAAGTCAGTGAATGCTGTTATGCATTCTTAATCAAAAATCTATTAAAGCTTCTAAAGAAGAGACACTTAAATATAACAGCTGCAGATCATTGGGTTCCAAACATTTTTATTTCACATTCACCTGCCATAGACAGTAATTTAATAGCACTGTTGTCCATGTTACTGAACACAATGAAGAACTTGGGTTTTTTAGCAAAAGAGGATGTGTTGTACATTAGCAAGTCTAGTCCAAACAACTTGCTGTTGTGTACAAGCTGTCCGAACTATAAAATACTGTATACAGATGTTCTATACAAATTCACAAGGGGGTTCAACAAGTTTCTAAATTTTCAGGGCCAAATCCTTCTGATGTAATTAGCAGAGCTTCATTGACTGCAAAGGAGCTACACCCGTTTACACCAGCAGAAGATCTGGGGCTTAATCTTTCCAAATTGCAGACGACAGAGAATTTGTGTTGACAGATGTATTTTTCAACCCAACCAGTGATACTTGAAGATCTTAGTGATTAAAATCTAATTTGTCTGGAACTAGTTAATAGCAATCCCCCTCTACACAATGCTGATGTTTCAAAGAAAGTGGTATACAACAGCTACACTCGCTGTAATAAAAATACAGAAGTCTATAATATTACACTAGAGAATTATGCAAGTTAAGATTCCATTTGCTTGAGTCTTAACCACCAGGCTTCACATTTCTTATTGTCTGAAATCTTATCTATGGCTAAAATGTAAAACTAAAGTAAAATCTGGCTTCTTAGCAGGTGAAAAAAAGTGAAAACAAATTTTTTCTGTTTCACTTTTAGGCTAAATTTATCAAATCACTGCTTATTTACTACACTCTCTCTTCATGGTGTCTGGATTTATTTTTTCGAGTAAGTTACAAAATTACAATACATATATATATTGTCCTGAAGTTAGAATAGTGCAGTATTAAATCCAAAGTACAAAATAATCCTATCTTCATTGTGAAAAACAAATAAATAAAATTAGACAACATTCCTAATTTACTACTGCATTAACTCTTTACTGTGTAATGGAGGTGATCAAGAATAAACAGCCACTGGACAAAGTAATGTAGAACAGACTACAGATTGAAAAATAAAGACTTATATAGCAATATACATGTATCTAGGCATTGCAGTTATCACTGTTACCACAGAAAGTATTCAATTTATGGACCGAACAATCAATTCTAAAATTCACTGGCTAGAGGAGTTCCTCAGGAAGAACTGGCTTTCAGCTTGGATAGCAGCATTTCATTCTTACGGCACTCCTGTTGATAAAAGTAAATAGATTGTTAAATGTTAACTATAATAGTTATGGTACCTATATTCACATCATCAAGACAAAGCCTTCTATGTTGTGAGAGCTGACAAGGAGGAATGCAAAAGGAATCTCCATTTGTCTCTTTAGGGCAACTTTATGGCTCTTTTGTGCTCCTTTGGGGACACAAAAAGGTGATACAAAAAGGTCAGGGTGGAGCCCAACGTATGGTTATGAAGTGACTAAGTGACAGTGACATCATCTAACTAGTGATTTAAGCCTTCTTACTTTAGTGACAAAAATGATTTTACTAGTTTTCGTGCCTACTCTGCAATCCATGGCAACGCAGAGTAAGCTGGAGTTTTTTTGATTCATGAAATCATCAACGGAATTGTTATTGGTTCCAATGGCAGGATCATTATTACAGGCGATGATGCACAAGGCAGAAAGAATCTAGCTTTATGGTCAGTCCCAAATTGGGTTTACGTTGCTGGTAGTTATGAAATCCATCTTCTTCCTTATAACTGAACTAATTTGAAATGAAGGTCATTGATACCTGATCTGGAATCCTGCAATGCTATTTGGCACAGTCTATTTTCAGAGAACTACTACAGCAAGGTCAAGAATTATGAAAATGTTTTCTGTTCCCAATAAGGTTACCATCATCTTCCAGGAGACAAAACAGGAGACATGCCATGATGTGGAAATTCCCTCAGAAGACAACTGATAAGGAGGGATTTTTCACTCTCCACAGAAGCTTAATTGCTAGAGAGGATGGGAACTCCTACCATAGTCATAAAGTGGCTAAGCAGCTTGTCAGTCTCCCAAAGATATGTGATGCAAGGCAGGGGAAAATAACCCAGCAAACCACGACTGATTAGAGAAAGCAGCCTTTTCTAACATGCAAACCCCAAAGATCTTTTGCACAGCAGTGCTATTTTGGCATTCGCTCTCAAAGAGACAATTAACAAGCACTGGGAAGGCTAAACCAATGAAATATTAACAGTACTTTTGCAATGTTTAGATGACAAGACTGTGCATTTCCTCTATTATTTTACTAGAGAAAAAATATACACAGTGAAGACAGTATCACACAATTTAAGAACCTCTACATAAATTGCAGTATCAGAACCTCTACAAAAACCTACGACTCTTCCCCTCTTTTCTTCAAAAGACAGATTCTCCTGCCACAAAAGGCTATATGTTAACAATATTCCTATTCTATTAATTTAACAACTGCCACCAGGAAACATGGAACCGACTTGTGTGCTTCATACAAAGACAGCTCCTTGCACACACCTTCATCACCTCCATGCTGCACTAGAGTCCCTTTCATGGGTTTCCAAAAAAGATTCCATCAGACAACTGCGGTCTATTCAAAAGCTTTGATATCAGTCCATAATTAAAATGTCTTGTACTGTTATCTGAATGGTTAAAGAATTGCTTAGTATTTGAAATACACCCCAACCCATCCTCTGTATTATAGATAATCCTTATCAACTATGAAAGAAATCCCCAAGTCCAAGAACATTTAGAAGGTCAGGATGCCCTATCTTTGTCAACTATGAAACACTGAACATATCTGGTACAGATGATCATGGCATGTCCCACTGCTAAAACGTTATGTAAACTGAGAAATCATAAATTATGACATGCAAGAGAATGCAAATTTAAATGCTGAATTGCCTCACATTCAGTTTTCATAAATTACAATTTCCACGTTAATTCCATTATAGAGAAATCGCATTCACTGGTCTACAGTAGCTTCCATGCAAGGATCTCAAAGTACAACAGCTCAGTGGATTAGCTAAATAGTATACCTCTTTTACAGAAGGGTTAAGTGCTGGAGCAAACCTATACTTTAGTCCACTGTCAGTGCTACATGGAAGACTCACTAATCTTCTTCCTCAAACGTGCCATGCCTGCCAGGATCCATTCCTGTGTATCTGCCGGTATTTCCAGCATATCATCCAGGATCAGCACTCAAAGAATTTACAATCAATACACAGGATGAGACAACAATCTACACATAGAATGATACAATAATAGATAGATAAAAGAAATATACTTTTCTATGGAGGAAGACAAGACAAATAGTGAAGCAATCCTCATTATTTTAAGGAACAGGTGTTGTAACTGTATGTTAAAAACAAACCCTTAACTGAGCCACTATGACATGCATATGTCTAAAAAAAAAAAGTAGACCATTAAAACTTAACTCTTCATGATGGGATTTTCAAAAAATAAATTGTCCTAATTCTGCTCCCATTGAAGTCAATGGTAAAACACCACTGACTTCAAGGGGAGCAGATTAAGCCAACGAATGCTTCTGAAAATCTCACTACCTCCAACTAATGAAGACTGCCTTTAACTTACAAGCAAATCAGGCCTGATCTAATAACTAATTAAAATATTTTAAATTGGAAACCAATTTGCATCCTTGTACCACAGTTCTTCTCAATGAGATTTTAATGATCTGAATAATAAACTTTTTTAAAACAAATCACAGTTTATAGGCCAATGAAAGATCGTTAGCTCCACCCCTACTGCGGGAGTTCCAGTAATAAAGACCAGTTCTCTACAATAATAGGAAGTGAATTGTAAAGATGACTGGGGGTTTCCTGAGAGCTTAACCCTCTCCTTTGGTTTGACTCAAGACGTAGATAACCCAAAGGAGCCTTGTGAAAGTTATCTGACGTGAAAGTGTTTCTTGGCAAGCCAACACATCTAGACAATTGCCTGTTAACAATTGGAATATTTATGATCCATCTCAAAGTGACCGCCTTTGAGCAGGATGGCTTTTAAGATTATTCTTAAACCCACCAGTTATTTTACTGGCTCAAATTCTCTCTACCCAATACAAACAAAAATGCTCTTACCTCTTTAAATTCTTTCACCGTTTTAAAGTAAAGCCTCTGTTTCTCTAGCAGTTCCAGGTATTCATCATTTAACTGGTCTCTTCGCATTTTGTTTTCTTGTTTCTTCTTTTCTATCTGTTTTTAATGTGCACAAAGAATGAAAGACCATGTACCGTAAGAACCAGAAACATCAAATACATTTCCAAGTAGACATTAGAGAAAGATGCTTCATAAGACACACATAATGGACTCGGCTGATTCTTTCAATGCAACAAATATTTAGGCTTAGATCTTGCAAAGACTTACTTTGAATCAATGGAATTACTTACAGTGGACATGTTGCTCATGCATGTGTCTTTGTGAGATCAGGACCTTATTTACGGACTAGCATTCAAATATGGCAGACAATTTACTGACATTAAAATTACAGGTGATAAGAACACCCAAAATATTTTTACAACAAAAAGTTATTGATGCAGTAGCGAATCCTTGATTTGGCATCTAAGGTGGTTGCCTCCATCATCTATTAACTTTGGAAAATCATACACTAATCTGGCAAATTTAGTAGAAAAATTCAATTACTCTTAATCTAAGGGTCAGGAACAAAAAGTTTTAGATAAGTACTCTGACATTTTTAACGCAAGTATTTTATTACTTGATGCGTTCTGTCTCCAGCCAATGTCTCCAGATGGTGTGTTGTAAGTAAATAATTAACCCGCATTTAAAAATATAATATTCTTCATGTTCCAGATATAGCCTGTATATTTTATTTCTATCTTGTCTGTTCCTGTGGGAGACACTGGGGCTGATTCTCCACTGCCTGATGTAGTCATATATTTCTGTTCAAAGAGGGTATGCAGTGCTGTCATTCTGATTTGGGTGCAGTTTGCACAGAGGTAAGGAATCACACAACATTCCAGGAAGTGGAGAACTGGGCCTATAAATGGAGAATACCCATTTAGAGAGATTCATCACAGAGGCACTTTCTACTGCTATAAAACGTTAATGTGAGCTGTTTGGAAAGCACCTGCAATTTGTGCTATTGTTATTCCAAACAAAGAACCAGGATGCTCCCTGAAGAGAGACCCTATCAAACACACCGGTAATTCATATTGAAAAGCTGCGCTCTGAGTTCCCAGCCCCTAAGGCAGAGTGAAGAGGATCAGTGCTAGTGGCTTGGCACTTGGTATACATAAACAAGAGCAGAGAGGCTCTGCTGGGAGTGCTACTGGAGGGAGACAAAACGCTCCTCCTGCCTTTAGCACAATGGAGCAGGCTGCTGCTTGTCTTCTGAAGTACATCTCTTAGCAAAGAGAAGGGCAAAGAATATTCAGTCAAGTGAAAAACCCTGCAGCATTGACTATGTCTATCCCTCTCCTGCTCAAATCCCCCATAACCTTCCTCAATCTTGCCAGCAAGGACTTGCACTCCCCTCATCAAACCTTGAACACTTAATGTAAAATAATTTTAAAAATTTATTTATTTCATTTATTAATGAAAACAATGAGAAACTAATACGATATGAACAAAGTTAAACCTCCATCATCCCTCCTTTGCCTAATACCTCTCCTTGTGGCTCGTCATGTCAAATCTAAACTTGACTCTTTAAGGCAGGGACTGTACTTGTAGGGTCTCATGACGATAACCCTAAGACATTACATACAAATGCTCATTAACAAATATGTACTAATGCATGGTCTGTATAGCAAGCACATTTTTGGTGATCAACAAAGAAATAACAGGTGAGATTTTCATTAACATTAAGGCCCCTTTAAAACTGCTCTTGGCAATTAAAGACTCCTTAAAATAGGAATAAGATTATATTTATACCCATTTTAAGGCACCTGTATCTGTTAGCATCAGTAAGAAGACTGGCCGGTGTTCTGTACCCACTAAACTATTATTTGAACAATAAGCCATTTTTGTCTCTCTCCCCAGACAATTTCAGTTCTCACAGCCAGAAGGGACTATTGTGATCCTCTGGTCTTCCTCCGACCACAGAACGTCACCCATCCATTCCTTAATAGGTCCATAACCTCTGCCTGAGTTACCGAAGTCCTCAAATCATGATTTAAAGACTTCAAGTTATAGAGAATCCATCATTTACTCCAGTTTAAACCATACTCTCACAGAACCCTCCATGTTTGCTTTTTTCCATTAGACATCTGATGGGTAGGAGGCAGCCCCATGGGGACCTAAGGAGAAAGAATGAGCTCTCTCAGGGCCTTATTCTACTCACAATGGCTTCAGTGGCAACACTACCTCTGTCTCCAATGCAGCAGGACTGAGACCTCACAGCCTTCTCTCACACAGCAGTTGGAGATGCTGTATTGTCACCAACCAATGATAGTCATCGGACTCTACAACTTTTTTTCTGGATAAGTAAATGGCTGAACTTTTGTTTTCTTAAGTGGAATCAAACAGGAGAGCAGTGGGGGCTTGCCTGGTCTTAGAGGCCAGGGGTCAATTCATAATAGATGAAGGAAGGAATACAAGAGATATCAATAAGGCTCCTCTTCTCTCACAAAATCCCTTTGATTTTCTCAGCTGTCACCAATTAAACAATTTGTGGAGTAGCAGAGGGGGAGGAAGAAGAACAACTTTGAACAATTGTTGACATTTTTGGAGTTTGCTGGGGTTGTTGCTGCAGCAATCAAGTGTCATTAAAGAGTTTGTCAGCCTTCCAGAACAAACAGGCATAATTACTGCCATCTTCATGAGTAAAAAATATGCTGCTCTGAAATATTTCCATAATCTCAATAAGTGCCTCAAAATCAAATGATCTCAATGGGCTTGCTAATGGAAAATCGACCAAAGCAAATAACCAACTTCACTACTGTTTATGCCATGCAGAATTGATCCATTCTATTCAAAAACAACTGCCCAAACAATTAGAGACAATTCACTGCAAATTTTAAAGTAATGAAACATCTATTTCCTCCAGGTCAGTGGCTAATAATAAATTCTCCGTTTTTACAGAAGAGCTTCATGCTAAACTGAATTTCACTGTATCCAAGTTCTCTATACATAGGTTTCATCATATTAATATCTGGAAGTCCTTGTATGGCTATTTATCCCAATAACAAAGAAACGGCATGAAGAGTCTGTAACTCTCAATATGTGACTTCTGGTCTAGTGTCTTCCCTGATACTCTGTCATGCTTGAGATTTCAAATGAAATAAAGAATATAATTATAAAAAATCCTAATGTCACACATGATTCTTAGTTCTTAAGAATAGGGAATCTCAGTGGGTTCATCCACTAGGACCGGTTGACATGGTGTCATTAGTGAGGCTAAAACTCACAAGTGTTATAACATTATTTGGGGGCAATCAAGAATACTTTTTTAGGTGAAAAGAATAAAGCAAAGAAAGAAAAAAAAAAAAAAAAACAAAGACATCCAAATGGCAATAATTACATTATATTTACAAAGGAACAAGCAACTTCAAAACCTATTCAGGACCATCCTCCAGTGCACAAGACGGCCTATGGTCTCTTCAGTTTCAGCTTTGCTACTGCTGCCACTGAAGAACAGGTTAAAGGGACTGGAGAAATGTGCACGAGAGCAGTCCACTGAGGGCCAGATCCCACTGCCATGGACACCAAAGGCCAAACTCCCAACTTCAGTGGTGTTGAATCAGGCTATGAATCCCTATGACTGATCCATATTGCAATACCAGAATCAAACTCAAATGCTGCAACCTGTCTGGAGTGAGAGACGTGCTGGTATAAAGACGCAGTTCTGGTCTATTCCCTAATAAGAGCCCGTAACTAAAATTTTAGTGAAGAGTACAAAATAGAAATGAGGAGACTTGTCAGGTGTTTAATTAGTTTACATCTCATCACACCAATTTTTTTAACCATCCAGGCTTGTCTGAAATAATTCCAAGCCTCTGCCAAAGAAAACGAGAAGAAACAGTCTAACCTTCATTCGATTCTGTTTAACTCCTTCTACAATCTGTTCCATCTGCCGCAGAAACTGCTCACGAGCACCAGAAGAGGCCATTGCTCTGGAAGAAAAATGGCAACTGATTGAGAGGGGAGGGAATTGGACAAAAAAAGAAATTCTTCTACAATTTTTATCTATCCTGCATGTAGAACTTTCAAAATAGACCTGAGCAATATGAATATTTGGGCTTAAAAACTACAGCTGTTCTTTCTGCAGAGTGTAAAGGGATAAAAAGCAGATTCAGACAATCCAAGATAAAAGATAAAGGGACAGATCATCAGCTGGTGTAAACTGCCATAGGTCCACTGGGATATATCACCAACTCTATTAGATCATCCAGTTCATCTCCCTGCCTTGTGCAGGTTTGTTCCCTTTGCTAGTGTTTTGTGCAGTGATCTTAGCTATTGATGGACCAAAAGCATGGTTTCAAAGTGTTTAAAAAGAGTAGCTTATGTGAAAAGCAGGAATAGATTAGAGGACTGGCATGTCAGTAAGAATTTTAAGCAGAGTTTTGTTTTAGTGGTTATAATTTACATTTTTGATTTAATAATTATTTTGGTGTACAGTACAACAAATGTTATTCTATTCCATGCTTAACTATAAAGCTGTGGTAATTTTAAAGATAAAGTGGTTATCTAAATATAAACTGCCCAAGTGAACCGTCAAGAGTATAACTTCCCATTGACTAGAGAGTACTACAACGGAGATCTCATCACTGAACACAGCAGATCTCTGTACTGTAGTGGAATGTATCCAATATATTTAGTTAGTTTGTTACAATTAACAAATTTAAAATGTTTCTGTTATAGTTGGGGTGGTTGCTTGTCATGGCAAGAAAATGGTCAGTGTCGATACAAGGCTTTATCAGGATAACAAAAGCAAACGGTACAAATTCATAGGAAAATTTAAAAAGTCATGATTGCATTATGATGAGCAAAATCTGTCATGCACTAAAATATCAAGCTATTTAATAACAGAATAATAGTTCAGAACTATTTAACACCATAGTTTTTCTCCCATTCTTCACTTTACTGGACAAAGATAGAAAGTACATTTGTAAAAATTCACGTTGGAGTATTGCTCAACAGGCTGTAAAGGCCAAGCGTGAAACCCTGGCCACACTGAAGTCAATGGCCAAGATTTCACTCCGAGACTTCTGTGATCCAACCATCACTTTTTAAAAAGAGGTTTATCATAGCAACTCTGGGCTATGACAAACATATGCCTAAGTTATAGTTAAGAAACGTGTGGAGTCTGTAGTTATTTTCATATAACACAAGCCCAACTTTACAAATATGTCAAACAAGGTTTTTAAAAGTGCCAGTAAGTTAGAAGTATGAAAAAAGTGTTATCTGAGTAATTTTAGCATAATTTAACACAATACAATACCAAGAGC